CTGGTTCAGAAGGAGTTTTGAAGGGGTTTTGAAGGGCCTATCTCTCACCCCGTGGGCCTCTCCATGGAATTGCCAGATAAATGGTGTAGCAGCTGCCATGCCCCATGACAAGCAGTGCAAGAAGGAGATTTGAACAACCAAAATAGAAACTCTAGTCTTTTATAACCTAAGATGAGAAAAGACATTCCATGATGCCCGCCTTATGCTTCCCATTATAGGCAAGTTACTAAATCAAGCCTGCACACAAGGGGAAGGGAATATATAAGGGGACATATGAATCCCAAGAGACAGGGATTATTCTGAACCATCTCAGAAGTATCCCACTACAGTGGTCTAAAGTTCTGGCTTATTTTTGCTTAAGTATGTGTGATGCTAATGATTGTGCTTACTCCAGACCTGTGCTGACAGCACTGTTCAGCGTGTTTCTATGACCCCTGCATGGATATACAGCAAATCACATAGGTGCTCTTGAAGCTGAGGGCAGGAAGTATTGCACCTTGACTGTAGCCACATTTTATGGTTGAAAACAGTTACAAGGCTTCAAGGGACTAGAGAGGAGACACCCTACCATAGACTCTCAGAATATTAACCCCGGAGTTGTTGAGGGCAATTAAGAAACAACAAAGTGCTAGGGAGAAAAACAAAAAACAAAAACAAAAAACAAAAAAACTGGCAATTTACTAGAGGGGGCTAAAAGTAATGAATATGAGAAGCTATTGTTGACAAATTCCACTACTACATGTAGAGAGGTTGAACCTTAATAGAGAGAGTCAACTGGGTGAGGTAATTCAAGACATACTCATAAGCACTGAATAATAATCTATATGCATATGTACCACACTTCATTTATTCCTGTGTCCATCAATATATAGGCCATATATATTGATACCACCTCTTGTTTATTGTGGCTACTGCTGTCTTAGACAGGGTTCTGCAATTAGTTGTTAAGACTTCACCTTACATCCTTTGAAGTATAGCAAGAGCTGGATCAGCCGGTCATTCCAGTTTTGTTTGTTTGTTTGTTTGTTTGTTTTGAGGGATTGCCATACAGTTTTCCATAAGTTGTAACATTTTACAGTCTTCCCAAAAGTTCGTATAGGTGTTGGGAGTGTCCCTCCCTTGCCAGGACAAATCATAGTTTCAAACTACAGAGCAGTCTAGGAGTCATTAACACAACACATGAATTTGCTGGATCATATCACTTCCTTCCTGACACCTGGGATTTGCACTAAACAGAACCTGTTTCACTCTTGCATTGCCCTGCCCCATGATGGAATCGATTTCATTCTGGCCTGCAGCCACATTCTGTGTGCACCATGATTCTAGTTATCTCTTAGGCTCTGACAGAATGTAGCAGGTAGTCTAGACAATAGCAGCACTTTCAGGAATGGCTTAGAAAAAGCAAGCACATGCTCTCCATGGAGAATGTAGAAAACACTTTCATATAGGTTCAAATCTGCTTCCTAGCTTGGGATTGAAGATTGGGCTCACCCATCTTTATTTGCAGGTGTATTTTATTAGCTTAATTTCCCTCTGTTTATTTACCAACATGTTCTATGTAGTTTTATTGCACCCTGCTTAGTAATTTCTGGGAGAGTTTTGACTTTTTGAGTTTGTTGCCTGCCCCTCTCTTCCCTCTCATTAACCCCACATTGGCTATACATGTAACTCAAATATATATGAGTACCAGACCTCACTAAATACCAAACATTGCCTATTTCAAAGTAGGTGCTATCCTAAAGCCAAACAAGTCATTATCTTCTGTTTTCAGGGAGATATTAACCAACATGTGATATCATTGGGTGTGATGATCATTAATCAGCATTCTAAGTGGAAACAGCATCCATCTTGTTGATAGTTTTGTTATGATAGTGTGTGTGTGTGTGTGTGCGTGTGTGTGTGTGTGTGTGTGTGTGTGTGTGTGTGTGTAAAATCGAGCTGTTACCCATCTGACAAACAATAAAATAGCTCTTTTAACACAAACATCCTATCACTGTTAACATTTGATATGTGTGCAATCCCATAGATTCTCTCTACCCTTCAAAGTCTACTAAAGACAATAATATGATCAAATAATCATTTAGGAAAATGTAATGTCTTTTTGAATATTAAAACATGAGAATGATAGTAAATTATTTCTCATAGAAACTTTGCCTCTATGGATTACAGGTAATGGTTTGTATCTCCAATAAACCAACTGGAGATGCCAAGCATGAGTGTTGCCTACCAAACCTTTGCTTAGCATCAAAGAGTACCGAAATGTTCCTAAATTGTAATCTGTGAGTCAAAGCATTCTGTAGTCCCTTGACCCTGCTAAACACTGAAAAAGTATCCCACCCCATATTGCTAGCCCCCCCCAAAAAAAAAGACCAAATATTTAAAAATCAAGCTGTGGTTTCTGCTGTATATGTGTATAGTTTTTGTACTCTTGTAAAGTTGAAAACACAGAAGGCAAACCATTCAAAGCCAGAGATGTCTGTATTGATTGTTGTGTGCTAGAGCACACCTGTCAGCCCTTGCTGTCTGCAGAACCAGCTCCCATTATTTTGTTCAGAAATTGCTGAAGTATGTAAAACCTTGAGAAGTGTGTGAAGCGATAAATGTTTAGAAAGCTCCTGACATTTCGCCACTCTCACACTATGTAATTTAATGCAAAATGACATATGAAGATATACCCCCTTGTAAAATGACAACTTATACATTCAAGAATTCTAAAGTCAGAGTTTAAACAGAATCACTGGAAGACCATAAAGAAGGAGTATGCATTTATTTATGCATTTATAATAAATACCACAGACATCACTATGTTTGCTACATTTCTTACTAATACTGTACATTTATATCAGATGTTATAAACAGGATGTGATACTGAAAACAAGATCCTGAAATCACTGACATTTTAAGACAATCCCATCTCTCATATCGAGTAATAATAAACTTTCACTCAACTGCTTTTCATATATTATACTGAAAGAGCCATTTATTAATTAATAATGTGCTCTCCATTCTTATGCATTTAAGATTTACTTTATTTTTGCCTTTTCATAAATTACTATCTTAGCTGCAAAAGTGTTCCCTTTGATTTAAATATTCAGAAGTTAGAATTATTGCTCATTTTAATTCATTGATTTAACAGATAATTATTGAAGTGTACAAAGTAGCCTTAGTCCTACACTTAACCCAGATGTCAGACAGCTCATTCCACTTGGAAGTCCAGTTCCAGAGAGACCAGTGTCCTCTTCTGGAGTTATACATACATCCCCATGCATGTACACATATGCAGATAAACATACACCTAATGTTAAAATAAAAACCATTTAAAATAAAGAAAGGTGCCGATAGAGTCAGGATAGTCTTCTCTCAGATGTGAGCCACTGCCATCTTGAGTAATAAGGTGGATTGTACAGTGAGTTGGCAGCTTTATGGTTAAAGGGGACGTTTATTAAAATGTGCTATGGTCTGGTTAGACAACACCAAATGCTTTCAGAATCTGGAATCTAGATCTAGTGTACATAAATGAAATCCTTATATAGCAAAAACTATCCCACTGAATTCCAGCTATACTTTATATATTCTCCTGAGAATTCTTACATCAATTAAATGGGCTAGGCTTGCCTTGTTTTTAAGTAAACATTATATTTATCATTAATTTTTCAAAGAAATAGTAGACTAAGGATTGAATAAAAAGCCTATGTACATCCAAAGCAACTGCCCTTTGCCCTGGTATGTTATATTTTTCTTGCTATATTATTTGGATATTTAACAATAGTTGTCTGTCAGGGACAATGATCACACTACCTCTGAGGTGGTTTCTGAGAGCATCTGTCTTTTTCCAGATCATTTGTAAATTCCGATGTACATAATGATTAAAATGTCAAAATAAAGTTGTCTTTCACAATACATTACTGTGGCCATCATTGGGTTTCCCTGTAAATATGCAGCCTTCCTGAGGAAATATTCAAAAGTGTAATCCATGGAGGTAAATGCCTAGTCATTGTTAATGGTGAATATGCCAGTGACACAGTCTTCTAAATATTTTAGACAATTGATAAAAATAATTCATTAAAATTTAATTTATATTACATCTATACACTCATAATCATATCACATAGTTCTTTAGTTATACTTTCTAAATGTTTTAAATAAGGGGCATTGATAAACACAAAAATATAATAAATGTGTATGACTTATAAATTCATATCATTCCCACTTCAAAAACCCACATAAATTCGATGGGTGCATGTTGTTTGATGACTGATATTACTGGGTCTATGCTATAAATTCAAAACTTACTCATCCCAATTTAAGATGTTACACTTTCAGCTAGACATGGTGGCACATGCCTGTAATCCCAGCACTCAGAAGGCAGAGACAGGTGGGTATCTATGAACTCAAGGCCAACCTTGTCTATGTCGTGAGCTCCAAGACAGCAAGGGTATATAGAGAAAAAAATAATAATATAGAGGGAAAAAATCAAATGTTGTACTTTACTTTTGTTTTCCACATCAAAATCTCCTCTGACTATCCCATATGCCATTAAGTTCCTCTGTGAAACATGTTTTCACTTTTATCACAATCCAGTGGGAAACATCGTGGTTTTAGAGAACACAGAGTGTTGTAACCGTGTGATAAATCTTCAAATGACCTGTGGTCAAGAAGATTTGGCAAGTGCCACTTCAGAGAATTCTCCAGCTTTCTTACAATGTGGAACACAGACAAGCCAGGGTAAATAATGCTTCATGCTTAAGACCTTCCTGGTACCAATGAGTGGAGTGATGCTTCATCATTATTGAAGCTCTGTCGTCCTGCACAGCACTACTCTGTAGATTGCAAGTGTTTGAGGGATTCTGCTTTATAATTTGTATTGCACAATTACCCCCATTATTTCAGAAGGTTGAAATCTGAACTTTACATATGAGTCTTACTAGAAACTTGATAAGTTCTTGCCTTTGGAGCTGGGAGCTGCAGATCTTTAAACAACTTGTCTGTTTTACCCCCAGCAATGCATCTATTTGGCCTCAACTGGCACTTACAGCAGACTGAGAATGACACATTTGAGAATGGAAAAGTGAATTCTGACATCATGCCAACAAACACTGTATCATTACCTCCTGGCGACAATGGTAAGATAAAGAATCATGGAGCCCATGCTCTCTTTAAACGTCATTCTCCATAAATGTGGTTGTAACCATGCTTGCATTCCGCTCATGTGGGAAAATAGACAGGTTTGGAGCTGGTAGACATCATCTGCTCATGAGGATGTTTTGTGAATTTATTGAAAAATTGAATGTTCACGCTTTTGTTATGGGAATAATATAGTTGTCTGCCTTGGGGGGGGGGGGCTAATGATTTGGCCCTGCTGCCTCTTACTATTACAAGTGTGAGTTTTGTTTTCTGTAGACAACTAGAATATAGTTCAGAATGTCATCTCTCCTGGTACTTTGAGTGTATTAAGTTCTCTTAATTGGACTTGTACCTGGAGTTGGGATACCCTATTAATCTTACTATAAAAGCTTTTAAATGTAAACTACATTAAAGGATTATAAGTTACTGACCTTTTCCAGTTGCCCTTTCTCCAAACCTTTTAGAGTTTACACTTTGAGGTAATAGAGACTTTCAATCAATTGTCTCTGAGTAAAAATGGAACTTCAGTGGCTAGAGAATGTTGTATTTCATTTTTCCAATATAAACCCCTCAAAATGGACACTTACATATGTATATCTGTGCTGTGCATAGTTTCATGTTATTTATGTGTGTGCCAGTACGTACACACCTTGGCATTGGCCCCTTCTGACACTGATATTATATCAATGATATTATATCTCAAAACAACCTGCCAGATGTCATTCTCTTCTGTCACGTGATGAATCATTTGATTTAAAGAATTTTCTTAGCTTTTCTGCCTCTGTTTCCTCCCTGGAGTATTTGCATTACACTTTGCTACAAGTGCTTTCCATCTCACTTGCCTCGTTTCTTTGCAAGGCCAGAACAAAGGCAGGGCCTCTATAATAAGCATCTCTTTTCCCATGTTCTCCTTTACTATTGGGCTAGAGATTTGAACATGTTCTCACTGGTTACCCTCTTTTACCTTTTACCTTAAAAGTAATCTGTGGGTCTCCACCCCTTGGAGGGGGTCCAATGACACTTACACAGGGTTCACCAAAGACTGTCTATATATCAGATATTTACATTATAATTCATATCAGTAGCAGAATTAACAGTTATGAATTAGACAGGAAAACAATTTTGTGGTGGGAGGTCACCCTAACATGAGGAACTGTACCTGAGGGTCGCATCACTAGGAAGGTTGAGAACCAGCGCTCTCTTGTACTTCTCTTCCTCCTTAAGGGGACTAAGGAATTTTACACCGTAGATTTTACACAATGCTAATAAATACCCCCCCCCAATGTGGAACCTTTTATACAAAGAACTGTAATCTGGTATTTGCCATGGCACCACAGGGCATCACTATAGAGTGGGTCAATGTCAGTAAAGAACAATTTCCTAATTGAAACTGCAAGTAACAAGTTTCCTACAGTAAACTTTAATTAGCGTTACTGCCATGCATTTTTAAACGTTGGTGCCATGTGCAAATAAATCAAGAAACTACACAGAAATTAAGATCTATTTGTTTGTGTTGATGAAACTGAGAGTATCTCTTTAGGCAGATGATCACCACAATGCTATTGAAGTGGCACTTATTAATTACAGCAGAGATTAATTTTACAAATAACATAATTCTCAAGAATTCCATCTTTGTTGTGGACATTTTGTTTATTGGTAGCATCCAAACCTGGTGTTATTAAGTTGAAAACGTGACTGATTGGTGTCACTGAAATCAAAATGTAGGGTACTCAGAAAGCTGCTAGTCATAGATGCTCACTCCAGGCTCAGCCATGGCTCCTGACGTTTCTCTTCCAAGGAATGCCAGCCCAAATCAGCCTCTCTCAGCCTACATCAGCATCGCTCAGCCCACATCAGCATCCTTCAGCCCACATCAGCATCTTTCAACCCACATCAGCATCTCTCAGCCCACATAAACATCTTTCAGTGCACATAAGTGTATGTTCAAATCTGAGTCCTTCACGTGTTTATTGGGCAAAGTGAGTAGTTGTTCGGGTTTGCAAGGACATTTGGAGTCACTCTAGAACAGACTCTCTGGGGTCATATCAGTTCCATAGCACTAGAAGAACACCATAGGCCAACAGTTTCTTTATGATACAGTCTCTTAGAGATCTGAAAACAGTTACTAAACCTGTTGACTATAACAGTAGTGAGAAGTACATGTCCATCAAACTTGCACACCTGTGTACATGTACATTTATATACATATATATGAAATTCCCAAATATTTTTGTCTTTCCATTGAGAAATGTGCTCCTGTGTTTTCTATTGTGTTTCATCATATCTTCTTCAATAAATGCTAATTATAAAATAGTTTCATATTTTATGGAGAGCTAAAGTTTCAAAAACTGCGTGTCTCATCAGACATATTGCTAACAGGTGCCGCTGGAGTAACTGTGTGTAAGCTTATCCACTGGAACTCTTCCCTCACTCTTTAGAGATAGAGAAACTTTTCCCAAAGTGGAACCATGGCATCTATGGACATTTCAGTCCAGGAAAACAGAAATAATAAAAAGGGCTGTGTCTTGACCCAGACTTTGTTGAACAATGTGACCTAAACAAATCATTTGTCAAATAGCCCAAAATCCCCATCCATGTCACATCCATGCAGTTCCTTCTGTTTTTCAAGTAATGACTCTTGGTACTTAGTTCTTCAGAGGGACCAGAGGAGACTATTTGCAAGAATGAGGAATCTATAATCTGGTTCCTTTAAAAGACCTCTTTGATAAATCTACGATAGCCATGAACCATCACCCACTACTTTAAATTTGCAAACTGCCAAGACAAGCAGATCACATGGTCTCTTTGAAAAGTCTGATGCCACAACCTTAGGGAAAGCCTTAAAATCTGCCACAAAACCCACTAGGAGAATCAGCTGTGCTAAGCATAATGAGTAAAGTACTCCCCAGGTTTGAGATGCAGTCCTCTTACTCTGGTGGTCCTATTTCATTTGCATGTTGTAATCATCATTCAAGAAACAATGGCTGTGTTAATGGCTCCATAATTTTTCTGCTTACCCACCCTCCTGCATCAATGCTTCTCAAAGGCAGTTACTATCGAGAAGGAGAATCCATATTGCAGTGTTGCCTTTTGCTCCTCATTCCTAACACTTTCTATGGCCAAAAGTTGTAGGGGCGTTATAGCAGAAGTGTTGGGTCTCTGGCAACACTAACAGAAACGGACAGAGTGGATGAATAGTTGAGATTAAAGTGTGGGTCTCAAATAGCTTCCCTCTAGAAACTAAAATTACTCCCTGGACCAACAGACTCATTTAGCCTAATGTACCGGAAAGAATTGCACAGGACCACACTCGGATGAGAGCTCCTTCACTTGCTTACTTTATAACCAGTTACTTAACCTTCTGATTCTTGATTTCTTCACATGTAAAGAGGGACTAATAACACTTACCTCTTGGCTTACCAACCTCAGCAGCCTGGTTCCCACTGTATTTTCCTTGGAGTGTTCTATCCTCCATACTCCACAACAGTTATTTCAGATCTCCCTGTACTGCCCAAACCCCATCTTGCATTCTGTTAAACCATGTCCTTCAAAGGACATGCTTTCTTATAAGCAACCCTCCATTCATATACGTTAGTTACTTTTCTCATGGTGTACCAAAATACTTGACAAAAGCAACTTAAAGAATGGAGGATGTTTGGGCTCACAGTTTGATGGTGCAGTTCACCAGAGTGGAAAGACGTGGTGTGTGGAGTCCAGGGCATCTGGTCAGTATTGCGTCCACAGTCAGGAAGCAGACAGAAATGAATGTTGGTGTTCAGCTCATTTTCTCCTTTTTTGTTCAACCCAGGACCTCAGCCCATGGCATGGTGTCACACATATTTAATGTAGTTATTCCTACTTCACTTAAGCTGGTCTAGACACTCAGTTGCAGACATGCCCAGAGATTCCAGTTCTGGGTGGTCCTCGATCTTGTTAGTATGGTAGCCGATTCAAGCCGTTACACTGCATATTTGTGCATCTACCCTTTCACCATTTGTCCCATGTTCAAGGATGTTTGTTCACTAGCACTCTTGATCCTACTCTGTATCTTTCAAATCTCTCCCGTCTGGGGGCTGGAGAGGTGGAGTGCTTAAGAGCCTGTATTGTTCTTGCAGCAGTCCCTGGTTCCATTCCTAACACCCATGTCAGGCAGCTCACAAGCAGTTGCTCCAGGGCACCCAATGCCTCTGGCCTCTTAGGGCAACTGCACTTATGGGCACATATCCACACACAGACTCACACACATGTGCATAAGTTGAAATAAGTCTTTAAAAAAAGAAAAGCAATCTCTCCAGTGTGCTGATACCTCATCCAGTGAGGATATGAACTTACCATTGTTTTTTATATTTTATGGAAACTAAAACCCTTTGACCTCCTTATCTTCCCTTCATCTCTACTCTACTATTCTCTTCTTCCTGTACAGGCAGCCTCTTAAGCACAGTGTATAGACTATCTGAGTCCATGCTTTCCCTTTCATGTGCCCCTGTGACAGTCTTGCTTCTGCGCTATTCCTTTTACATGTCTGGTGGGTCACCACCACCAATGAAAATCATGATTTGCACGTGTCCCATTGATGCCAAGTGCACCATTGAATAGCCTTCCGTTTTTGTCATATTGAGAGCTCTTGTTTTTAAATTCCTCCTTGAAATACTCATTCTCATAGAATATGTAGCAGGTACCACACCAAGCAGGTCTTTATTCCAGTTTCAGTAGGAACATTGGATTGTTTATCTAGCTCCTTCCCTTTCGCCTGGTCACTAAACATCTCAGAACCCTTGCCTGTCATGTAATTACACTGGATCATGTCTGGGCTTGTCTTTGGTAACAGTCTATGCAATTTTGACTCAGTCAGTAAGGACATCCTAGGTTACATTCCTTAGCTCCAGACATCAGCTATAGAAAACCAGCCGGCGCATCTTTGGAACATTTCCACTGGGGTGTCTTCTTGTCCTAGCAAATTCCAGGTGTCAAAAACTGAGCACATCAACTCCTTTGGTGT